TGATGACGCTATCTTATGATAACATGGTCGAAAGATTAGTTTAGTTTTCAGATTAGTTAGTAGCCATACTTTGGAGAAACTCTTCTGGTCAATTAGTTAGTGGTTAAATGATTCTGGAAACTTTTAGACCAGTTAGTGATGACGCTATCTTATGATAACATGGTCGAAAGATTAGTTTAGTTTTCAGATTAGTTAGTAATCATACTTTTGAGGAACTTTTCTGGTCAATTAGTGGTTAAATGATTCTGGAAACTTTTAGACCAGTTAGTGATGACACTATCCTATGATAACATGGTCGAAAGACTTATGTAAAACATTTCTAGACAGAAAAGGTTGATTACCGTGATTCTTGGAGGTTTCATTAAACTATTATCGAAACAGTCGTTTCTATAGATAATAATATTTAATTTTCTAAATGATGCTTGTTCAGGTTTTTTTACAGATTTCTGTTATTTTTCTAACCATATTTAATTAATTTAATTATTAATTAATATTATCTTTAATTATTATTATTAGAATCTCGACTGAAACTCAAGAGTCATGAAAAAAAGGGAGAGACGGTGGTTAGGGAGCTTCCCCTGGCGGTGTTGCTGGTTACTCCTGATCCTGTGGATTACAGTGGGAAAGGCAAAATTTGTGAATAATACCTACCCTGTTTTTGACAGGCAAGGTTTTCCTGGTGAAAAGTTTGAACATTTGGTTGTTAACAAATACACTGGACTTGTATACATAGGTGGAGTTAACATGATTTACCAATTGACTCCCAAACTAACCTTGAAAAATACGGCCATCATGGGTCCAAAGGAAGACAGCCCCAACTGCCCTGTGACCCGAGTTTGTCCTCAAGTGGATACGAGGCCCACGGACTACCACAACAAGGCCCTTATCATAGACTATGAACAGAGTAGGTTGATAGCGTGTGGGAGCCTCTTTCAAGGAGTGTGTACAGTCCATGACCTGGAAGACGTGTTAAATTACAACACTCCAGCGAACGAGTCGGTGGTGGCAAACAATGCCACGGCATCCACGGTGGCCTTTATTGCTAAGGGACCGACCGACACTATTCGTAGAATGACCCACGTCCTCTACGTCGGCGTGACCTTTACAGGTAGTGGACCTTACCGATCAGATGTACCGATGGTAAGCAGTCGTAGTCTTGACCCAGAAGCTATGTTTACCATTGCTGAATCGAAAGTAACCACTGGGACAAAAGTTTCTGTGAATAGCCTCGCGCGTGCCATCTACCCGATCACTTATGTGTATGGGTTCGAGAATAAGGACTTTTCATATTTCGTAACGGTGCAAAAGAAGAACACTGATAGGCCTTACCCCTTCCTATCCAAACTTGTTCGAATTTGTCAAAACGATCCTCATTACTATTCATACACCGAGATTCCGTTGGTCTGTCGCTCGAAAGATGGCACGGACTATAACCTCGCTCAGGCTGCTTTCGTAGGTCAACCAGGCTCTGACTTAGCCGTTTCATTAGGCATCACCGCCCAGGATAAGGTGCTCTTTGTGGTGTTTGCCAGCTCGAAGGACGAAGCTGATATTTACTACAAACCCTCCATGACCTCGGCTCTCTGCGTTTACGCTTTGTCCGCTGTCCACCGGAAATTTATCCAAAATATCCAGAACTGTTTCAATGGTCAAGGAGATAGAGGCCTAGATTTTATTAATCCAAGTCAACCATGCCAACATACAGTAAGTCAATTACTCACTGTTTATTGCTGTTTAAAAGTATTTAGTGTGTTATTATTATTATCACCTATAGAGGGAGCTTGGCGACAAATGTTTCATCTTGAAAATGTTTAAAAAAAGCCTAACGGGCTGAATAATTTCATTCTTATTAATAACGAAAGTGTTAAACATTGTAAAGAAACAACAACAACCTATTTTAATTCTTAATATATTATACATCCAGCTGATATCCAAGTTAATATAATTGCTAAGCGTTTAATGCGTAATTCTTGGATATTAAGGTTATGTTTTATGTATTCGCTTTGCAGGAACGAGAAACAGTTCTCGTTTTTAGAATCAATGAACCGGCTACATTTTGTTATTCGTAATCTTGTCCTTTTCGTTCGTTCGTTTAACACGTAGCTACACTATAGTTTATCTGAATCTTGAATTCAAGCTGTTAGTGTACCACTGAGTCACCAGGTGTCTTATCTTGTCGTATATGTATATATATATTTAAAAATGTATTATTAATACTCAAAACTCTTTTTGTATCAATATATTAAGTTTAGACCAAGAGGCTAAATTGGGCTTGAAATGGCCCGATGATTAGGGCGCTGAACTCGCACCCTGCGGGTCGTGGGTTGGTTCGAATCCCATCAACTAACATGCACGCCATTTCAGCCATGGGGTCGTTATAATGTGTGAATTAATCCCATTATTCGATTCGAGTAGCCCAAGAATTGGCGGTGGGTGGTGTTGACTAGCTGCCTTCCCTCTAATCTATCGATTCTAAATTATGGACGGCTAGCGCAGTTAGCCCTTGAGGAAGTTTGCGTGAAATTTCACAAACAAACAAACAAGTCTATTTTTTTTTTTTAAGATTGATATTAACGTCGGATGATTTGTACCAGATAAGGATGGAAAAAAGTCGTAGTCATGATATGCACTCGAAATGGAAATGATTTAAAATAGTTATTTTTTCAAAATCAGTTAGGTGAGAGATAACTTGATTTTACATGCTGTGTCCTCGGTTCTTTGTTCTAGCTCTTACAACTGGAAATAAATAATAATAACGTGTATCGAAAAGTACTGAAATGTGCAGTTTGAAAATACACGTTTCATTTATCCCTCTTTTGTGTTTTTAATGATTGGTCGTGGCCTACTAGATAAGATGTTACAATTTGAATCTAAGGGTTCTTTGAAAATACACGTTTCATTTATCCCTCTTTTGTGTTTTTAATAATTGGTTGTGGCCTACTAGATAAGATGTTACAATTTGAATCTAAGGGTTCTTTGAAAATACACGTTTCACTTATCCCTCTTTTGTGTTTTTAATAATTGGTTGTGGCCTACTAGATAAGATTCTACAATTTGAATCTAAGGGTTCTTTGAAAATACACGTTTCACTTATCCCTCTTTTGTGTTTTTAATGATTGGTCGTGGTCTAGATAAGATGCTACAATTTGAATCTAAGGGTTCTTTGAAAATACACGTTTCACTTATCCCTCTTTTGTGTTTTTAATGATTGGTCGTGGCCTACTAGATAAGATGCCGCAATTTGAATCTAAAGTTTCTTCGCTCGCGTTTCATTGCCCCAAAATCGTGGTTCGTACTTTATGACCATAAGTGTGTTATAAGAGTGACGATCAAATCCTACTATTCGATTAGAGCACCTCGAAAGTTGGTGGTGGGTGCTGTTGACCAGCTGATTTACCTCTAAACTAGCTGTTGACCAGCTGATTTACCTCTAAACTATGAATTCGAAGCTAGAGACGGACATATAACCTATTTATAGTTTTGCAGGATTATCCGAAACAAACAAACAACTTACCTACCCTTCCCTCATTTTATAATCAACCAACAAAACACTGAAGCAAGAGTGAAATTTGACTCAAAAGTACATGATAACTTATAACACTAAAATTCGAGATTCGATCCTCATGGTTGGTACAGCACAAACAGTCCATTGTACGGCTCCGTGCGTAACACTAAACAAACAAACAAAGATTCGATTTTATTTAACAAGCAATGCATGGTGGTACGAGTTCCGTACAATCTGAGGAACAAACAATTCTTCTGTGATACAACAGAAACATTATAGTGTCATTTTCAGAAACTGGAGCGCGTCGGGAAATGTCGCAGAACGTCCCAGTTTTGTTTGTTATCATTTCCAACTCGTGTGATAGTAGTCTAATAATATGGTATCCTGTGGTGTAGGGGGCGTGGTTAACACAGGCTAGGTTAATACTTAGGTTTGGAAAAGTAGAAACGTAGTTTGAACGAATATAGGAAGTTAACGCCTGAAAATAATCTCTTGAACTGTTATCGGGCTTACTATTTATATTACAGAAATATCGCACTTTGTCGGTAATTATGCAGAGCGATCAAGTTTACCTTAAAAAGGGTTCTCGTCCAACTTTTTTGACGTTAGTAAGGACAACTTTACTTGACATACTTTTCCGACTCAAATGATATAGACCGTTCTACATGGAAAAATCATTGATGTGTGCAATTGGGGTTGCGAAATTACTACATAGGAAACAAAAGAGGGGGTCTTGAAGAAGCGTACCCTATGATTTACGTAAAATATCAGTATCGGGTCTACCAGAAAATTAAAAGACCAATAATAAAATATACCTTTGTGAATGCAACGTTTCTACCATACAACTATATTGAAGCATTTTTGGTATATAAAAATAAAAAGTGGGGAAAATTTGGTATTCCTGTCGCAATACTGAATTGAATTGTCACTTATCTGGAAAAACCAAATCAAATATTAGAAACGTTGTTGTTTGTTGTATTTAGCGCAAAACCATACAATGGCCTATCTGCGCTCTGTTCCACCGCAGAGCCCGGCATGGCCAGGTGGTTAAGGCACTCGACTCGCAATCTGTGGGTCGCGGGTTCGAATCCCCGACACACCAAACATGCTCGCCCTTTCAGCCGTGGGGGCGTTATAATGTGACGGTCAATCCCACTATTCGTTGGTAAAAGAGTAGCCCAAGAGTTGGCGGTGGGTGGTGATGACTAGCTGCCTTCCCTCTAGTCTTACACTGCTAAATTAGGGATGGCTAGTGCAGATAGCTCTCGTGTAGCTTTGCGCGAAATTCAAAAACAAACAAACTGTTCCACCGCAGAGAATCGAACCTCGTCATGATCCACAGGGGGATATGAGGAACATGTTCCATCACAGGGAGTTAAAAATCGTTAAAATTCGTGAAACGTTGTTTCATTAAAGGAAATTAGCAAAACTTTGATCTATAACGCAGTTTAAGAGACAGGTTAAAATTAACGAAGCGTTGTTTCAGCATGGGAAGTAAGACTCGTTAAAATCCGTAAAACCTTGTTCCGTTTCAAGATGTAAAACTCGTTAAATTTCGTAAAATGTTATTCTATTACAGAAAGAAAGACTCGTTAAAATCCGTAAAACTATTAATACTTAACTTTAGCGAAAACGTAAAAAATTAAGCATTTGATATTCATCGTTATTTGTATGTTTCTGATTTCTCGCCGTGAACTTGCTTCGTACTTAGTAATAAGTGAGACAGTTGTGTGTTTGAAATGCCTAAACAGAGAGAAATAATAACAGCCATACTCAAGCAATTAAAAAAAAAAAAGCCAAATCGAATGAACGGGATTTTGAGCTTATAAAAAGTCCTTGAAACACAGACTTTTAAGATACTTAGGGAAAATGAAAAATAGTTAAAAAGGCGAGAAAATTGTACTTTATCAATACTTGAACTGATGGTTTGCAAAAATAAATGTCCCAATTGACAATAGATATTGATTGGAATATTGAATTATCGATAAAACAAATAAAATAAATAAATTTATATGATGGCCATTAGGGCTGCCTGGATTCAAAGGACACTGAGGAGATGTTTAAACAATTTTTATGGTCACCCGGATTGCCTAGATTCCAGGACACTGAGGAGGTGTTTAAACGAATTTTTATGGTCATCCAGACTGCCTAGATTCCAGGACACTGAGGAGGTGTTTAAACAATTTTTATGGTCATCCCAGACTGCCTAGATTCCAGGACACTGAGGAGGTGTTTAAACAATTTTATGGTCATCCCAGACTGCCTAGATTCCAGGGACACTGAGGAGGTGTTTAAACAATTTTATGGTCATCCAGACTG